ATGCTGTGTGTATATTTCTGACACCAGCAAAGAAGTAGAGGAAGATGTCTCAGAGATTGAAAAAAACTGTGGAAAGCCTAGACAAGAGAAAAGCTGGACCCTCTGAGGTTGGTTGGGAGGCTGGTTTGGACATGTGGGAACTTAGATTTTCCAAGGTATAGTTTTAGTATTAGCTATATTCTTTTGTGCCTATTTTTGTTTCTTGCTAATCGAATGCTGTATTTCTTGTATTCTGGAGAACAAGAGACAGACCCTTACTAAAGGGAATGTGGAAGTAATGATGTTAAAATATGATGAGCAGAGAAAGGAACAAGAAATGTATATAAATACTTTAATGGAAATGGAGATGTAAAATGGTTTTGTGGTTAGCCTTTAAAAGGCTAAAAGGGGGAAGTTGTAGAAGCTATTTTATGTTTAGCTAGAAGCCATCTTGTATAACAGAAACCATTTCAGCTTTTTGTCTTTGCACGTAGGCCAGAGTGAACTTTCTATCACCCCATGCGCCAGGCCAAGACAGATGTGCTATTGGAATGTGTTAATTGGGCTGGTTCAGAGAGGAGAGGTACTCCCTCGTACCTGTCCGCCATCTTGCTGATAAGGCTTTGTTTTTCCTAGTTTAATTGATTATTTCTGTAATTGGATGCCCTGACATCAGACTGTTTGGTTAAGGGTATAAAGATACTAGGATTGATTGTATTAAGCAGCTTTACTGGGCTTGACTTTGCTGGGACCACGTTTGGCTCACTTTGCTTTACTGATCAATAAAGCAATCAGTAGTTAGCCGCCTAAACAGAGAGGAGCGTGTTTTTGCTTCGACAACAGGGTCTCTGACACTCCAGCAGCAGGGCCTTCCAGCCCTTCAGCCGAATTCAGATCAGGCTGGTCAGAGCCTCTCGTGTTCACTGAGGGGGATTCTGCACTTGCTGCCTTGGGAGCCACAGTCACATTACAGAGCTCCTCCAAGGCTGTCCACAGCGCTGCCAGGCCATCCCCAGCCGCTCTCCCATGCCTTCAGCAACATGGCTGCATTTTATCCTTCCCCTTCAGTAACAAGCAGCCATTCCCCACCAGCTCCAGTGGAGCAGCGTTAGCACCAGTGTGGCTCCGTGTTGAAGCTTTGGCTGTGGGAGACTGACTTTTGGAGGGAGAAGAGATGTCAAGGCGCCAAGTTTCACCCATGACTAAAAATCCCCTATGGGCCACACACCTTTGGTCCGGTAAGGGTTCCAGTGAGAGCAAGGCAGCGAGGATCACTGGACCAAGCTGTTTTCCTCACCGTGGCCATTGCTGAAATGTTCATCCTGACCAACAAGCCTGGCTTGTTCATCCTGACCCCAGCAATGGAGAGCGACTATGGGTAGGCAGCCACTGCATGGTAGGAACTGGCCCAGGGTGGGAATACTTGAATTGCCCCATGGGGGTTGGTGAGTTTTGGCTCGTCCCCACCAACTCCTGTTTCCCTGCCATTAGGGCCTGGGTCAGGACACAGTGGAGGAGGAGGACCTGGGCCCCCCAACCCAGGGGCTGAACCCTTTGCTAGCCCATGCTAAGAGTACCCTGTTGTTGGACTTGAGATGAGAAGACTGTACACTTGTTAACTAAGGACGTTTCCCAGGGGACTTTACCCTAAAAGGCTGTGTTTCTCGTGATCTGAGCCCCTCACTGGGGAGCCTCAGCTGGGCGAAGGCTAGGCCTCTGATAATCAAGGATTCTACTCATATACTTTAGCTGAGAAGGTGGTGCTTCTGTTAATTAAGGGGATGGATTTCCTTAATAAAAGGGCCTCTGATGAACAACTGGAAACAGGGTGTTAGCGTTTGTTTTTGAGGGATTCCGGAGCACAACTTGGGCTCAGCCCAACCGTGTGACAGGATACCCATTGGCAGGGAATGTGAGACACACCCTCTCTCTATTGGTACAAAAAAGTAAGTTCATGTGGCAGGAGTGAGGCTCAGGGGATTTGGATTGTGGAAAGTGACTTAAGGTTGGGGCACGGTTGAGGAACAGATGTGTGAAGGCTGGCTCTAGGGACGAGAGCCTCAGGGATAAAACAGAGGTTTGCAGTGTGAACGATTGAGGGCAGGGTTCCCTCTAAGGTTGAGGCCCACCCACCCCCAAAGAAGAGCTACAGAGTGACTATTCAACTGCTCCAGGGTGGGCCGTGTGGCAGCAGCCCTTGACAGAGATAGGGCAAGAGCCACAGTGGGTGCCTGCTCCAGCAGTCTGACTGGAGCCAGAGCCATAGCTGTGTTGTGGGCGGTGCATGCTTTGGCAGCCTTGACCAGAGCCTGAGCCGCAGCAGCATCACAGGCAGTGAGTGCTTTGGCAGCCCTGGCCAGAGCCAGGGACATGTGGTAGTGAGGGACTGGGCTGTTCTAGTGACCAGGACCATAGGGACGAGAGCCTCAGGGATAAAACAGAGGTTTGCAGTGTGAACGATTGAGGGCAGGGTTCCCTCTAAGGTTGAGGCCCACCCACCCCCAAAGAAGAGCTACAGAGTGACTATTCAACTGCTCCAGGGGGGGCCGTGTGGCAGCAGCCCTTGACAGAGATAGGGCAAGAGCCACAGTGGGTGCCTGCTCCAGCAGTCTGACTGGAGCCAGAGCCATAGCTGTGTTGTGGGCGGTGCATGCTTTGGCAGCCTTGACCAGAGCCTGAGCCGCAGCAGCATCACAGGCAGTGAGTGCTTTGGCAGCCCTGGCCAGAGCCAGGGACATGTGGTAGTGAGGGACTGGGCTGTTCTAGTGACCAGGACCATGTGGTGAGGACATCTGGTTCCAGCTCCACTTCACTAAAGAGCTCCACCTTGGGATCTCAAAAGGTAAATCTGCAGATTATTTGAGGGTACGTCTACACTAGTCCCCTAGATCAATCTAGGGAGCCTAATGAGGGCGACCAGAATTGCAAATAAAGCCCTGGATTTAAATATCCTGCACCTGATTTGCATGTTCCCAGCTGGTCGCCCTTTTAGAAATTGACTAGCCTGAAGTAACTGCTCGTATCTACACACAGCAGTGAAACGGGATTCTGGAATAAAGCCCTAAATCGAATAAGGAGGTATTCCTTGTGGAATGAGGTTTACCATCTAATTCGATTTAGGGGCTCTACTCTGGAATCCCATTTCACTGCCGCAGGTAGACACGGGCAGTTACTTCAGGCTAGTCAATTTCTAAAATGGCAACCAGCCATTGACATGGCAAATGACTAGAGAAACGTTCTGTGCCCTGATCATATTTAAGAGCTTAAACCATGTCAAGGAGAACAATTCTCTCTGATCCTCTGTAGCCTTGTTACTTGTAAAGGCATCAATCACATCAATAGTGCTGATTGTGCCAATAACTATTTTTCTCCCTGCGGAAGTTATTTCTCTCAATCTCACTCTCTCCCACACACTGTGTAGAAGCAACTAAAACATTTTTAATTAATGTTGATTATTTTCTATTCATGGTAAATCAATATGCAACCAATGATGACATATTAAAAGGACTTTTCTATGACTGACGGGGTCTAAAGCATGCAGATACTATAAGAAATAATCTAATTATTGGTTATACGTCCTATATATAGTGTAGTAATGTAAAGAAAAAGAGCTAGATGAAATTTTCTGGTGATATCCCTAAATTCACCTTCTGAATGTCATTAACTTGCAACTGCAGAATGAGCTTTAGAGTCAATGGCGAGGGATGGTACATTCACTTTTTATGCTTTACAAATTAGTACTTTCACTAGATTACACTGGGAAGAAAGTGCAGGGGTTGGGATGATGGGGACACTGCAGAAGTTAGGGGCAAAGAGGGCACAATACAGGGTTGGTAGCAAAGGGTGCACAGGATGGGGGGTGCAGCAGATGGGGGAAACTCATGGATGCAGGACCAGTGGAGCAAGGCTGGGTGGGAATGAGACTAGGTGCCAAGCTGGGAAGTTTTCAGGGTGAGTGTGTGCAAGGTCATGCACCTTGTTAATTATCCTTTGTTTTAGTATTTTTCTTCCATAAAAATTTAAATTGCATGTGTGTGTGTGTGTATGCAAAAATTCTCAGTAACTCTCGTGTGCCACAGTGGCACACATCTGAACAAGTGCACAGAATGTCACTCTTTGTGCTCAAGAAAAAAACTCGCTCCACTCGTGGATGGAAAATCTTAGAGGGAATACTGGTTGAGGGCTCCAGCTGGGGGTGTTATCTCAAAGATGGAGGGGACTGACATGTAAGTCATTGAAAGGCTACATTGAGGACAGAAGAATCCCACAAGCTCTCGCTCCCCAAGCTTAGGTGCTACTGTGAAGGGGAAGAAGGAAGATACACCTCTTGCCTGGGAGACACGTCTGGGCCAGGGTTGAGACCAGTGGGTAGAGGTATCTCTCCCCACCAAAGCCCTATAAGTTTGCATGGCATTTAATAGCCACCTGACCAGACAGTTTAAAAGGAACTCAGGTTATAGGTTTCTCCCCTCTGCGGGTCCTCTGAAGGCTAACAGGATTTGAGCTCTGACTAAAGCTTTCCTCACAGTCAGAACAGCTGAATAGTTCTCTCCTCTCTCTGAGTTGTCTTATGTTTAACAAAATCTGACCTGTGTTTGAAGCTTTTTCTGCAATGTATTATCTGATGGCTGGTAACACAGGAGCACTGACTGAAGCTTTTCCCACAGTCAGGACAATTGAAAGGTTTCTCTCCTGTATGGGTCCTCCTATGCGTAACAAGGCTTGAGCTCTGACTGAACCTTTTCCCGCAGTCAGAGCAGCTGAAGGGTTTCTCCCCGGTGTGGCTCCTCCTATGGGTAACAAGGTGGGAGCTGCTACTGAAGTTTTTCCCGCAGTCAGAGCAATTGAAAGGTTTCTCTCCTGTGTGAGTTCTCCAATGGATAACAAGGTTTGACTTCTGACTGAAGCTTTTCCTACAGACAGAGCAATTGAAAGGTTTCTCTCCTGTGTGAATCATCCTATGTATAACAAGGTGTGAGCTTCTATTGAAACTTTTCTCACAGTCAGAGCAGGTAAAGGGTTTCTCTCCTGTGTGGGTCATCCTATGTCTAACAAGGTCTGAGCTGCTACTGAAGCTTTTCCCACAGTCAGAGCAGGTGAAGGGTTTCTCTCCTGTGTGGGTCATCCTATGTCTAACAAGGTCTGAGCTGCTACTGAAGCTTTTCCCACAGTCAGAGCAGGTGAAGGGTTTCTCTCCTGTGTGGGTCATCCTATGTCTAACAAGGTCTGAGCTGCTACTGAAGCTTTTCCCACAGTCAGAGCAGTAGAAGGGTTTTTCCCCTGTGTGGATCCTCCTGTGTTTAACAAGATGTGACTTCTGATGGAAGGTTTTCCCACAGTCAGAGCAACTGATGGGTTTTTCCTCTGTGTGGGTTCTCCTATGGTGAACAAGGTCTGAGCTCCCTGTACAGCTTTTCCCACAGTGAGAGCAAATGAAAGGTTTCTCTCCTGTGTGGGTCTTCCTATGTGTAACAAGGTATGAGCTGCTACTGAAGCTTTTCCCACAGTCAGAGCAGTTATGGGGTGTGTCTCTTGTATGTATTTTCTGATGGTTCATAAAGTGTGAGTGTTCACTGATGGTTTTCTCAGAGTCAGAGCACTTGAAGGGCTTCTCTCCTGTGTGGGCTCTTTGATGTTCAAGAAGAGTTTCACAGTCACTACAAGTGCAGGGTGATTCTTGATGGGGGATTTCCTGTTGAACGGTTTCTGTGTTTCTTTTCTCCCTTCTGCTCCTGTCACTGGAGTAACACTGTCCCTCTGCTGGATGGTTTCCCTGCTGTCTTTCTGGGCTATGCTGACTCTCACAGCTCTCTCCTTGCTCACGTATCTGGAAAACATACCCTTCAGATCTTCCCAATAACATCCTACATGGAGACACTTGCTCCAGTCCGTCTTGCTGAAGACTCTTTTCATGGTTCTCAGTCAGCGTCCCATCCCCTGTTGCAATAGAGAAATAATTGAGACAGGAGTTATTCTCCATGATGAGCTAAAAGGAAACTCTGAAAGAGGAATAGAAAAGGGGACACACTCAAATAATGGTCAAATTATCATGAGTGGAGTTCATCCTCCTCCTTCACAAGCCTTCCACAGAGGAGAGAACACAGTCTTTCCTCACCCACCACACACTGACTGGAGTGCAAGACAGACTGAACAGTCAGACTTCATGAAAACACATAAATTACATCTGCTATAAGGAGACAGAAATTGATTTCTGAGTCAGTTTAAGTGATTGCTCACCTGTGTGGGTGTTGCAGATGATCTCCCCTTCCTCACAGCTCTGGGGATCTGGGACCCGCAACTCCTCCTCCCGCTCCACCCAGGAGATCACATCAGTTTCGGAGACTGGAAATCCTGTTTGGAGAGCAATGAACCAAGTGCTGATCTTGTTCATTAAGGTCTGTGCCATTACTGCTTCCCAAGCCAGGATCTGAGTCACCCACCCAGAGACGCACCTTTCCTCACCTTGCAGAGACTTGCCTCTGGCTGGTACAAAACCCCTGGACACACTCACCTGCAGTAAAGGTGCGTCACCCCCCCGCTTTGGGAATGGCCCAGCTCTCTCTCAAGGGGAGCTGAGCACTCTGCTGCACAGCTCAGTCCCTCTCACAGTTCATTCTATGCCCCCGGCATCCCAGGGCTGGACAGGAACACACTGCTCAGAAGAGGAGCTCTAGTAAGGGCTTTCAGGTCTGACATCAAGGTCCCAGGCAGGGCTCAGACAGCAGCTGTCACATGACAGGTCACTAGGACTTGAAGGACCCAGCAGATCTCTAGCTCCCCAAGGCTCTGTCCACAAATCTCCTGGCTGGTGAGCTGGGCTTGCCCTGATCTTTGGCTCAGATGCTCTACTTGGGCCAGAAGGAGGCAGAGGAAGTTGCCTGAGCATCTATGTGAATCCTTGGCTGGTTGCTTCAGGTCCTGCCTATGCTTCACACTCCTGATCTCAATTGCCTGTGTCTGGGTGGGCCCTGCCAGATGCCCACAACAGATGCCGTTTCCATGGCTGCCCAGGGTGGCGCTGGGCTTCTCTCAGGGGAAGCCAGTGCAGAGATAGGCCATGCTGCTTCTCTGGTGCTTGTAGCTGTTGCTCAGCTCCCCCTCTGCAGCCTCGGTTCTACTCTGCCAGCAGCAGCCTTTGTGTGGTTTCCCAGTCTGCCTCTTGTGGCGAGCCTGGTCTTTGATTTGATGCCTCTCTAGGGCTGCACAGAATTTCTCACCTTTACACCTTGTGAGCACGTTCCCCTCAGCTTCAGCCCCACCCCTTCTCAGAACTTCATTTAGTGTTCAGAAGGGCCACCTGTGACATGACCATGGAGCTCATTGTGCTACTGCTGTTACACAACTACAATAAACCTTGTGCAAAGTGTGTTCAGTGCCATGTCAATGGGAATGTTCTGATGTGATGACTATGATTATCTTGTTTATGTCCATTATTTTTTAACTGGAACAGGATGGACTTTGGCACTGGGTACCAACTATCCAGGAAAGCACATTCCTGAGGAGGAGGAGGCCAATCAACACACAGATCTCAGTAACTCCAAACACACAGTCCTAAGAGGTGGCTCAGAAAGACACTGACCCTTGTGCACAAGAGTGAGATGAGGGGATAATGGATACGGATGTTTTGTTCAAACAAAGAGGCAGGAGGCTAAGGTGGTAGAACCCATGGAACACAACATGCATCTTGTTTGTGTCAACGTATTGAGAGGAGAAGGCACAGGAGGGGCATGCTGATGCTGGCTGAGGGGCAGCGTTCTGATTGCTGACTGAGCGGATACCGTTATTGGGTTGGGACAAGTCTCACTATACCTGTGCCTGAGGAGCTGGAACACTAGCACCCTGCTCCTTTTCACAATAAACTTGGCCGAGTGCCTTAGCATCTGAATGGAGCCTGGGCCTTTCTTAGTGGCAACGTGAAGGTGTGCTGAATAGATAAGCCGAACGCTCTGCCAGTGTTGCTGGCATAATATGGCACTGCAATCGCTATGGAAAGCAAAATTAACAATCACAGCAGCACCTGGGAATTCTAGTGTAAATCAGGACCCCACTGTGCTATCGCAGTGCTCATATGGAGCTAAGCATCACCCCTCTTTAGTTTAGGTATCCTTCCCAGCCCTGAGAAACAGGGACACTCTATAATAGCTATTAAAGAGAGAGGTGACCGCACACAGAGAGTGTAAGAGACTTGATCAAGAACACACAGGAAGTCTGTGATGGGCAGAGAACTGAACACAGGTCTCCTGAGCACGAAGCCAGACAATCACACAGGAAGAAAAAGTCCCTACCCGAAGATATTTCACTCTAAAAAGACAAGACAAATGACGTGATTTATCTCCACTGTCAGGGCTTGACAAGCGGCGGCGGGGACAGACCGGGCCGTGGCTGGGCACAGCTGAGGGTGTCCGCTCAGGGCGAATTGCTCGAATCCGGGGCTCCTTACAGCCCCCGACTGGTGACCTCTCCACACAGGCCACAAACCAGTCCCAC